AAGCACATAATTCGCTGCCCTCGAACACACATGAGAGCGGCGGCACCGACACTCGTAAGCCCCGCGCCACAAGTGGAGGACGTTCCAACACCCTCTTCATGAGGATGCACTTCCCTTGCTCCCACACCACACCTTTGCTGCTGCTGCTGCTGCCCCTACAGTGGGTGCTAATTAAGTAGAACTAGAATTGCGAGACGCTTCGATGGCCATCAACTATGAGGGCAGCACAGGGCAGGGCAGAACAGGGCGTCTAATGAACAGCGAAACGCGAAGTGCGGAAGAGGGAAATGTTTTTAATTGGAACTAAATATTGATAGGCGAATTTCAAGGCAAACATAAAAATGTACAATGCATGTACGTACTTGTGTTTGAATTGTTTATTTGCAGAATTTGCACTTGAATTGAGTAAATAAAATCTGCACAAAACGTAAATTGCTTAATCAAATATTATTATGCTCATTATTAATTAACATGTACATTTTCAACAGCATGAATTTATGACAGGATATGTTTAAATCTCAATTGAATTAACATATAGTGTGTGTCCTGTTGTTAATAAGCGTGATTTCTTTATTAAGTGAAATGGAAATCTCATTTCGTTTGAGTACATGAAAAAAAGTTGAAAAATAATATTTTATAGTATTTGAAAATTAATAAATTGAATATGTAGAGGGGCTTAAAATTACCTTTGAATCTTTTTGTGTCGTAAAAATGTTAAAAATCAGATATACAGATTACTCAAAGTGAAAACAGGGGGACAACGACTAATTCATTTGCTCAAAGGGAATTCCAATTCTAGACCAAAGTACTGACTTTGGTTTAGATGTTATTCTATCTTTTGCCGAGAGAACCCCTTTAATTCGTTTTTTTTTGTGTACCTTTTCCCATAGCCAGACAGGACTGTAGCAATCAAGCAAAGCAAAGCCATTTGGTTCCTAGCTCTGGTCTCTCTAGGGCTGTTGCCTGGTGCTTTGGCGCTCATTAGAAAAGATGGCCGTTGTCCGTCGCTGAAGGATCCCCTGACCCCCCTGTGCATGCAGGATAGATGCCTCGAAGGTATCGTTGCTGTTGCTGCTGCTGCTGCAGCTGCTGTTGTGGCTGGTCGTCGGACTCATGTTGCACATGGCGTCCGTCGAGGGCCATTCATTTGTAGCCTCTGTGCTGCCCACCTCTGAACCTTTGAACCTCTCAACCATTCCTTAGGATATTTCGTACCCTGTACAACAATGGGTGTACAGTGTACATCTCTCTCTCCCTCCCATCCACACTCTTTCCCACTTGAGCTCTCTTGAGGTCGTCGTCACTTGCCTTGATGTTCGGGGGAAGCGCACTTGGTTTGCGGCAAAATGTAGTGTGCTTTGACTTTCGTTTTGCGGCTGGCTGGCTGGTTGGCTGGCTGGCTTTTCTGCTGAGCTTTCGTTATCTTATCTACTATCGGTTAATGCCTGGCCTGTCTTTGGGGCTGTAAATTATTTGCCGTTTGCCTTCTTTTTTCTCGCTCTCTTGTCTCTCTGCACGTTTCTTTTTTTGTATTATTAAATAGTTGCATAAATATCAAGCTTAACGCCAGGCGTGCAAAATGAATAACGCAAAGCTTGGGGCACGCATCGGCACGAATCGGAAGGTTAGAGGGGCAAAGGGGCCTTTGCCTGACCGCAGAGATAACACGCATATGCCTTGATGTACGGACACGAGAGCGTTAAAGGAAGTATAAGTCTGACCTTCGACCCGCCCACTCATTGTTACTGTTATAGCATAAAGCATTCGTTATGCAAGGGTATACTGTATACTGCTCGTATTTAACTTAATCTCTCGTTTTGTTCGTTAGACTTTTGTTTCCTTAAAGTAATTATTGAATCTTGATGAGTGGGTGTTTCCCATAGTCTAAGGGTTCAACGTTGACTGATTTTTCCTTCTTGATTTTCCCGTCTGAAGCTGTTGTTATCGACCATTTTTTGGGTTACAGAAACAGGACCTACGTACATATGAGGGGATGGAAGGAAATTCCTTTTGTATTTTGCCATCTCTGGCAAAACTCATAAATGAACATTTCCTTAATGACTGTGCTGCCATTTCGATCCACTTGACTGCTGCAGCAACGTCAAGGAAACCAGGACATGCATTGAATGCATCCTGAAGCCGTTATGCAGTAACCGGATGCCAGAAAGTGTGTGCTGTTAGTCAAGCCATAATCGATATTCGATTTAAATTGTTCTTTTAATGACTATCATGGCCTGCAATATGAAAGACTATACGATACGATACGATACGAACGAGATGCACGCACCATATTTCATGGCCCAAAAATGAGAGTAATTGGAAAATGCAATTTCCGAGGGCATTGAGATTATCTTGCAGCAGATGAAAGCTAAGGAGAGACAAAAGAGATAGTCATATGTTAGTTTATGCATGCCATAGGGAAAACAAGAAACATTCGAATGATTGATTGCTTAATTCAACAATAATTGTTCTTTTTGCCTTTTGTCTTTTTTTGGGGGGGAAATTTATATTCATATTCAACAAAACGTGAAATTATGCACAAAGTTTATATTTTGGGGTTTATTGAGCGACTAAATATTGCAGGTAAATAATTAATTGATTATATCACAAATCACAATGAAAACAATATTCATACGCATTATTTATGATTTTTTGTATTTGTGAATTACTTAGAATTATGTATGTCGAATGCAAAAGCCTTGAGTAAATTAAGCAAATGAACAAATTTCCAATGAACAAAATACATATGTATGTATGTACATATGTATAAGCAAATATCGCTGTGCATAAATATTGTATGATTAATGTGTAAATGTTCAATTTATTTGAAGTAGTTCCTAACTACTGAAACGTGTTTTCGCATGCATTTCAAGTAGAATTTTATTAGTTCAGAGAATTATAGGTAAATATAATAGAGTTGCATTGCCAACAACATTTTGAGCTGTGTTTCCATCACATCTGCCGCCCATAGCAACCCTTGAAAAGGAGGAGTATTAGATCCTTGGGATTTCTATGACTCTTTTCAGGCTATTATTTATATTTTGTGTTCCTTATTTTCCCTTTTTATGCCATCAAAGAATTCATTGGTGTTTGGGGCCCTTTTTTCTGCATTGATCAGTAGTTTAGAGTGGAATTGAATTGGTATTCGATAGGGGGACGAAGACCTGAATGATCATGATCGTTGTTGACGTCACTGGCTGACGCAGCCTCTCTTTGCAGTCGTTGGGTGTTTCATTTGAGTTAAAGCGCCGCTCTCGATCTTTGAGTGTACACATGTACTTATGTATGTATGTTTCCAAGCTTCTTCTATGCATTCCTCTCGCTCGCACTCAGCAAGACTGCAGCTCGTATCGTTTCTCACGACCAACTCTATGAGCAAGTCTCTCAGCAAGCCCGTCGCTCGCACTCAGCAAGACTCTGCAGTTCTTATCGCTTCTCAGCAAGCACACTCTCACTCTCACCGGCAAATGTCAAATGACATCAACAACAGCCAGCAAAGTAACGGTGACCAAAGCACAGAAGAAAAGAAATAGTCTACACAGCAAACAGAAAACACTCGCAATAATCTAATGACTAGAAACTGTCTTGGATTTGCTTAATTTTATGGCCATAGAGTTTGGTTGTACTCATGAACAATTTGCAGTCTGAAGGGGTACCAAATGTTCACTAAAGAACGGCTGCATTTCGTGTTGCATATATGTAGAAATAAATTAAATGAAAATGAAATAAACATTTGTTGCACCTTAATCGCACCCCTCTATGGTACTCTCTCCTCTCTTTGGCATGAACTTTACTCGTATAATAAATCATTCAAGGTAATCCCCTGGACTTTCCGCATTTCTCTCCTTTCCCTTAAATGTTTTTGCCCCTCGAGGAGGGGCATAGAGGCCATAGTAAATTAGCGACTTAGTGCATCTCAGACGAGGAAAAGCATTTCTTTTTCAATTTCCTTCACTCTGGAATTCTCTTTGTAAGCCTTTTATTCGTTAGTCATCCGCAATGGCCCTTCCCCATTGGCAGGATCAAGTTGGCTGCACATGAGATTGGACTTGTGGCTTGTGCTTCGAGTTAAATAAACTTAACTCGATGATGGTTGATGGCTGATGGCTGATGGCTACTGATGGTCGGATGGTCTGTCTGATGGCCTCTTGGCATGCAATTTAAGGCAGAGCAATGGCTGAAGGCATTTTTTGAGGCATTGGCCAGGCTATCGATGGCAGGGTCTCAGCCTTGGCCAAGAAGGAGATGGGGATGGGGGAAGCTAAGAACAGAATGCGTCATCAGCATTATTCTTACACTTCAACGCACCCAAAAAGACAGCAAAATGATTGAGAAAGTGCGCATTCACTTTGGTGTATAAATACGAGTATGTAACAATGTTTGCATACTCCGTGTGTGCGCTTTGTTCATATGGAACATGATTAATTGATCAAAACAGAATTCAATAGATATAAACCTAGAACATCCTTTGATTATTTTCACGTCCTTCTGTAGTTCTTTTTACAATTTCAAACAAAACCAGTGGCATTAGTCAGTCATTATTTGGTGTAGTGAAGTGCCGCCAATTAGTTGAACTCTGTAAAAGGCACCACACGTGGCTTGACATCAAGTTAATATATATTATATAAATATATTAAATGGGCTCTTGGAAACGCTTCCCTCTGTTCAATATACCCCATTTACTCTTTGAATACAGGGTATACTTAAGTATATAGCGTGTAAGGCGACGACGAAAATGGGGACTGAATAGACTAGCTGGCTTGTGCGATGATATGGGGATCCATTAACGCAATTGCCTTGACCGCGCTGCACCTACACCTCCGTAGCCCCGACCCGCCGTAGTAGCTCATAAAGCAGGGAATGGGATCATTTATCTTAGTTTATGTTTTTATCCGCCAACTAGATTTAAGACTTGCGCTTGTACAGCTGCTGCTGCTGCATTTGCTATGCAATTTTTTGGAATTTAATTTGAATTTTCGTTTGTTTATTTTTTTTTGCAGAGAAGCACAACGAAAATTTGCAGTGAAAGCGAATGAGAGCTTGGACAAACATCAACAGGAGCACGGGAGCACGAAGGACCAACCCAATAATAATAAGCAAACAGAGATAGCGTGAGGACAGAGGCAGCAGGACGAAGGATAAGCGTGGTCTCGTTGCCATGAGGGCAGCCTCGGGTATTGTCCAGGAGTAGCCAGAGACGGAAGCTGCAGCTGCAACAGCAACAGAAACAGCAACATCAACAGAGTGTCACAACCACAATAGACACCAGACAGAAGCCACATCCGCACTTGCAATCAAATCAAAACAAATTCAAAGATGCAAATTACACTTTGCATACACAAACACGAAAGAGCAACAGCAGCAACAGCAGCAGCATCTACATCTACAGTGGCAGCCACATAAATTGCCGTCATCAAATGCTTAAAATTTGCGTTTGAATACAACTGAGAAGAAACATATCATATATCCGTAAGGTATACGAGCGCGTCTGTCCAAAATGATTAAGGGTATTCTGATACAACGCAAGAGCCAGGAGGATGCCAGCTACGCGAAGCAGCTCAAGATGGAGCATGCAGATCTGGTGGCCGAGATGCAAACGGTGGAGAGTCTGCCCACCCACGAGCGCCTCCAGCTGGCCAGATTGTAAGTACAAGCCATGCCGCATATCTAATTGATAACTCTGATAACTACTCTGCATCTCTGCCCTCTAATTAGACGACGTGCCCAGCAGCTGAAGCTGTCGCGGCAGAAGGACAAGGAGTGGGCAAAGCTGCAGCGAGCCAAGGGCAATACAGGAAGCGCTGCGGTGGCAGCAAGCAGTGCCGGCCACGGCCACAGTCTGATGAACGGCACTGGAGATACCACGCATCATTTTCGGCACGCCAACGGCTCGGGGACGGTGAGCGGCCGGCGGCACATATCCTTTGAGAACAGCGTGGTGCTGCTGGAGGCGGCCTCGCGTAACGATATGCCAGAGGTGGCGGCGCTGCTGCAGCATGGCATTACGCCGGATGCGGCCAATGAGGACGGACTGACGGCCATGCACCAGGCGTGCATCGACAACAATGTGCAGATGCTGCAGCTGCTGCTCGAGTACGGGGCGGATGTGGATGCGCAGGACAGTGATAAATGGACGCCGCTGCATGCGGCGGCCACCTGCGGCCACCTCGAGCTGGTGCGCATCCTCATCCGGCACGGTGCTAACCTGCTGGCCGTCAACACGGACGGCAATATGCCCTATGACCTGTGCGACGACGAGAACTCGCTGGACTTCATCGAGGGCGAGATGGCCCAGCGTGGCGTCACCCAGGAGCTGATCGACGAGACGCGCTCCTCCACGGAACGCATCATGCTGCGGGATCTCATGGAACTGGTCCGCACTGGCGGCGATCTCGAGGAGGCGGACTATCAGTGTGCCACACCAGTGAGTCCCTCAAATCTGCTGACAATTGTTCTGTTAATAACTTGAGCGTTTTACCAACTCTTGCAGCTCCACATAGCCGCCGCCAATGGATATGTGCGCGTGGTGGAGTTCCTGCTGGAGCAACACGTCAATGTGGATGCCATGGACAAGGATCTGTGGACGCCAGTGCACGCGGCCGCCTGCTGGGGTCATGTAAGGCAGCCGACGGCAAATACTCCACAAAAACAGGATAATATTAAGCCTTTCCTTTCTAGCTTGAAGTACTCGAGATGCTGGCCCAATGCGGCGCCGATTTGAATGTCCGCAACAAGGACGATGAGACGCCCTCAGGTATGCACATATCCTTCTGTCTATATATGTACATACAAATAAATGTATATATTAACTGCTATCTATTATTCTTTCGTAGATATCTGTGAGGATCCCGAGATCAGGGAGCGCATTGAGCAGCTGAAAACGGAGCAGGAGAGCAAACGACTGGCCGAGGCGCAACGAAGGCGCGTTCGCCGCTCCCAGAGCAACAATACCAGGCATGAACCCCCTTTAACCCCAATCAATCCTCCCATCCAGTGACTAATCAATCTATATGTCTGCCATGCCTGAACAGAGCGCAATCGGTGCGTCGAACCAGTTTGCGGGACAAAACGCTGACAACCAAAAAGGATGCCGTCGAGGAGACACGCCTACGGCTGCAGGCCCAGGAGGCGACCGCCACAGAGGGGGCCCCTGCTTCTGTGGATCCCCTGTCCAATGGCTATGGCTACGGCAACAGCAGCGGCGGCGGCAGCAGCAGCAGCAATCACAACGGTGAGAAGCGTCCCTCGACGGCCAGCCAAAATGGCCATGGCCCTGGCCAGCTACTGCCACACTCCAAGTCCGCCGATGCGGTGGACAACGCCACGTCGATCACTTCATCCACATCCACAACAACCGCAACACATTCCTTCCAGTCGCGTCGTCCACCCGATGGCCGCGAAAACGATGAGCTGCTCCGCCTGAAGGGAGCCCAGGACGGTGCCGTGGGTGAGATGCAGCGCGCCACCTCGGCGGCGGCCGTCATCCTTACCGACAAGGGTACGGCGGCCAGTGCCGAGGCCGTGCAGTTCCAGTCGTCCAAAGAGGCTGCCAACGGCAAGATCAATGTCCAGGTCACCGTTCTAGTGGGTGAGTGGTGTCATCTCTATCAATGGCCGCGTGCCACGCATGCCTCCCAATCATCCACCCGCACATCCATCTATCCATCCATCCATCCATCCATCCATCCACACATCCATCCATACAATCAACTGCTGCCACTGCATCCACCTGTGAGCCAAAAGCGAATGCTCGGCTTAAGCGCTTCCACTGTCGCCCGTGTCAATGTCAATGTTTAATGTGTATTTAACGACTCTATTAAATGAAAATGAAAATACGAGTACTCCCGGCTAAGCAGCAAAACCAAACTAACAGAATATCTAGGTAGTTGACTGGGGATATACCCTGTAAGTGGAGAGTGCTCATTGCTTGCACATAACAGAGTTATTTTCTATTGCACTTGCAAATGTACATACATGAAATAATATTTTTTTTTTTGGATTATATTTCCGTCAATTCTATTGGATATTAGCTTAAAAATAAATAAAATTGTTTGCTTTTAATGTTGAAACGATTATTTAAATACAGCTACTTGTGGATTAGATATATAGAGTAGATTTTAAAGCGATTTGTATGTATGTACAACCAAAAAGAAAGTCCTTTTGATTTATGCAATGCTTAGGGACCCTCCAAATACAACCATCCTCTACGATTGCACGTCTATCTATCCTCTATCCCCTATCCTCTAACATTACATGTAACATAAGCCACGTATAACTAACACCCCCGCACATGGTTACAGGGTTTTAAAACCTTAACTCTCAGACAGTAAAAAAAAGAGAAAAGTTAAATAACGTTTGCTTGTTTCTGTTCTATTCTTTTTTGTGTTGTTGTCGCTCGTTCTGTGTCGTCTGCCTGCCTGCCTGCCTGCCTGCCTAATCATCATCAACGCAACCCCGCCCACACAAATCACCCACACACACACACAAAACATCAACCAACACACAGACACGAACAGCACGCATCATCAGCAGCAGCTCCAGCAACATGCAATGCTGTTGCAGCAACATCAACAGCAACAGCAACATGCTGCCCACATGGATGGCGGCTTCAGTGCTGCGACACTGTCGAACTTAAAGAAGCAGCGCTCCCTCTCACGCACCGCGAATGTCCTTAGCAATTTCGAGTTATCATCGACATCAAACCCCACTACGACAACGACAACATCCACAGCATCGAATCCCATTGTAGCGGCAGTAGCAACAGCCACAGCAACAACAACAACTAATGGTTCTGTTTTAGGGGCCAACAACAACAATAACAACAGCACCAGCAACAACAACAACAGCGGTGGAGGTGGAGGCGGAGCAGCGTCAGTGGGAGCAGCCACCGCACCGATCTCCACCCAACCGCTGGGACTGGGCCCCATGGGTGGTGGTGGTCCCGGCAGCCTGCTGGACTTTGAGGCGGCATCGCCGGCAACGAGCAATTCGGTGAACAAGTTTAGCGGCATCACAGGCGACGTAGTCAGCGACAGCACCAGTTCCAGCCGCAAGTGTTGCGTCCTCATGTAGGAGCACAGCGCTCAGCTCAACACGCTCCAACTGTTTAACAGGGTATTAACCAAGAGAAGGAGGCATTATCGTGACGAATGCCATCGCAAAGATTTGTCAGATAGATAGATTCGACCATTTTTTATGTGGGATTTTGTGTAAGCAAGCAAAACAAAAAAGTGTCTTTTTTTTAGAAATGTAGTGAGAAAATTTGTTGAGAATTATATTAATTGTATAAACCAGAAAACTTGATTCAACAAAGAGTTCAATTCTGTGAGCTCCACATAAACGGCTCAAAGTCGTTGCATTTTCCTATAACGAAAGCTACACTACACACACACACACACACACACAACAACAAATTTATATATACACACAAATATATAAAGATTTATCCAAGAAAATAAATGTGAGCAGTTTACCTTAGTTTAGTCTATATATATTATATTATAAAATGAGAATCAAAATCAAAAAAACAGAAAAAACAGCAAAAGCAGCAAAACTATTTATATAGAATTGTTAAGGACTCTTATTAATTGATGGATTGTTCACTAGATTTGCCTGTTTATTTGCCTGAGATTGCAAGCGTGTGTGGTGTGAGAAATGAACAAGACAAGCTAAGTATTATGCGAAAGTATGAAATATATATTTAATTAAATATACGCTAGCAAAAATTATAGTTAAATCGATAAAGTAAAGCAAAGCAATGAAACGAAATGAAATGCAAAAACACTTAAGCAATTTCCAAACCAATAAATAAATGTGTACACGTTTGAATTGAATTGATTATCGCCAGCCAGCCAGCTATCCAGCCAGCATTCGGATTTTGCTTTGTCTACTCTAAATGTACTGCAAAATGTATTCCAACTACTTTGGTACAGCAAGCATGTGAATTGAGTTTTGTTGAGAGATACAAGAACATTTGTATTATTTATGTATACAGCAAGTAGATTATTCCAGAAGAAAGAAAAACAAAAAAAATCTCTGAAATACAACGCGCAATTAGCAAATCTGAGACTTTGTTCGATTTAATTGTCGAGTGCCCCCAAGTTCTCCCCGGAGTTTGGCTATGCCACAGATCGAGCAGGGTCCAGGATTTTATTCAAATGGAAGGCTTGGCGCCAAACAGCTGCAGAACAGAGCTTCGCTTCAAAGTCGCTAGATGGCGACACAGTTTCTTCCATTTTTTTTAGTTTCGTTACAAATACGAACAGCGCCACTTCCGTTTTCTTGCTGTACTAACATTACTGCACACGAGTTGGCAGCTCGTGCAACAGCTGTTTACAATTTATATTTGTTTATAATCGAAACAATTAAATGGAATCTTTGGTCAACTACCGCTATAGCTTAGTGGCAGGCGCTTGTGCTGCCGGCGGCAGCTTTTTTGGCAAGCTGCCCAGCCACCTCAGCGCACAGAAGCTGCTGTATTTTCAAGATTCAGGCGGAGTAAACTTTTCGGATTCCTCGTATCTGGGTAAGTAATTTTAGATTTTTCCCAAAAGTAATTTATATTTTTATGTTATCGCTAGAATTTGGTTTGCTGCGGCTTCTCCCATTGGTCCTTATGGTGATATGCAATGTTTGCAATCTGCGCTGCTTCCTTAAAGCGCTACAAATGACGGAGCAGACCCTGACCTGCGTTGTGCTGTGCGCAGCGTCCAACTATGTGCTATCTGTAGGTGCCCCAACACCAGAACTAGCTATGGCCCCTGACTAATTCCCTGTTGATAGTTTCTTTTAGGCACGCTGGTATACCAAGAGCCACTAACCGCATTGTCTGGCGTTGGAATTGCGCTAATATTGGCTGGTCTTTGGTTTCTTTGCGATGCTGGAGCCGTGGAGAGCAGTAAAAAGGAGCCAGAAAAGGAGTCATAGTTGCACTTTTGTGTACGACTGGAGTACACATCACTGATAAGGAGTCCACCCACGAGGAGGCGTACTACACGCCCATATTTACAATTACAAAAGTTAAGTCCTGCTGGTGCGTGGATGGCTGATGGGTCGCTGTTGGTGATCCAAAGGCCAATTCCCTGCTCTCCATCAAACGCCTCACGCTCCAGCAGAAGGCCAAAGTAACCCCCAGTCCGGGCACACATGACTATGACGACTCATGCCATGAGTATCATGGGCTTAATAAAGCGCCGCCTGGTGGCCTCGTATAGAAATAATAAGTACAAGCATAGCTATAATTTTCTTTTGAGCCTGTAGTGGCGCCACTTTGATACATTTTGGAACACATGTTCTAAATCGTATATACGATAAAACTCTCAATGTTTGTCTTATAGAACCAATACTATCATATCATCTTATCCAACCGGTTCGCACACACGAGTGCAAGTAGTATAGAGTTGCCATACCTTGTGATTTCATTTAATTTAGTTCAAAACATACACGGTGTAAGTTCGTGGCGCCACTGAGCATGTAAGTACATACATACGGTTTTTAGCCTCTTATTCGCTGTGTGTTTTATCTTCCCTCTTCTTTCTTCCACGAGCTTTGTACATATGTACATAAATTTCAGGCATGTGAGCCTCACCACCAGTTGCCGGAAGTGGAAGGAAGTTCATGTTCGCACAAGTCCTGCGAACATATGTGGGACGACCTGTTATCGCTGATCCTGCAAGTGGTTCCTGTGGGCTCCTGTCGTGTCAACGGCGCCTCTTCATTTGGAGACGACTACAAGTAGCTCTCAGACTCGCATTGAAATCACCTCCCCCGACCAGAGTAATCCCACTCAACGCTAAGAGCGTTGATTGCTGCTGAAGGCGAGCAAATATGCCATAAGTTCATAGTTCACAGTCATACTTGGGCGGCTGGGCACTAAGCCTTATTTAGATGGCGCTCTCTAGCATTTATCATGCCACGTATCTCGCATCATCGCAATACCGCCGTGTCGTCAGTCTCTGCATTATGACGGGGCCTGACAACAATAACCACTTGAGAGTCAAACCAAAAATTCCTGCCATCCAAACACTTACTGCATGGGCCACGACCAGGAATGGGACAGGGAACTGGCACTGCTACCAAGACTATTGAAGCGTGTCGTTCCCAGTCCTGGTGTGTGGATGCTGGCGGCGTCAGTTCGAGTTGATTTGTCAAAGTGTTTGTCTGTGTGTATGGCTTGTGAACCTTTTTTTTTAGCTGACTGCAGGATTAGATCCTGATGGAGTTTAAAGTTTGTGCGACATCTGTTCGGAGTCCGTTCCCCTTCTGTTTTATTTCGATTTATTCATATAATGCACGAAAAGTGCTGGAAAATATTTGCCCCATCTGTCCGTGGCGATTCATAAATTATGGAAACATTGCAATGCATTGCATTTATCGCCGCTTCAAGGGTCGTACTGAATGCAAAATGTGTTTATATTGATATCACGCATACGCCGTGTGTTCCATTCGAATTAAGCATCGGTGGGCGCGCGCTGTGCTGCCAAAATGAAATGCATTCATAACATTGGCGATAATTTGTACAAATTATAGTTGCAATTACAAGTGGCCCACTCAAACAGAGCCCCAGGGACGCGGTGGACGCGGTGTGGCAATTGTTGCCAGAATTTATTTCTATTGTCGACCTAGCGAAAACAATTATCTGGGAATGGAGTGCAAATATGCAAACAGAAATATTTTGGTAAAATTTTCTAGTATTTCTACTTTCCCTAACCCTTCCCTGCCCCTTCCCAACCCTTTTTATATTCTGCTCTTCCAGCCTCTTCCACTACGAGTATTTCTGCTTTGTTGGCCGCAAAAGTGGCGAGCATTAAATGAGATTGGCCCAATAAGTGAGCCACATTTTACTTCAACCACCCAACGCCACGGGCACTGGTACTGGCACTGGCACTGCCTCTGCACAGTGCACAGTGCACAGCCCACCGCAGCATTGTTGAATTTTTGGTTTGGCTGCAAAGTGATTTACGCAATTAAAATAATTTCATTCAAATGGTCTATAATTCAACTGGCATTTTCTGCGGTCGCTGTAGCGGCCAGTTTATGCCTGGCCTGCCACACTGGCGGCCGTGACCACGCCCTCAGAATGCAAACAGCCGTTGACAATGCAGGCACCAGAAAATGCCATTATGTTTATCTACATACGTATATACGTATATGTATGTATGTACATATTGTAATGCACCAATGCCCATTTAGATGCTCTACAAATACATACCTATACGCGCGATACTATAGCCGTTTCCATTGGGTAAACTTGGTAAATGGCAATCGTTGCTCTGTTTAAAGTTGTACTTACCCTGCAAATAATTAAAGAATGAATCAATATTTCATTTATATAATGGCTTTCAAAAGTAAAAAATTTTATGGTTGATTATTCTCATTATAAATCACAACAGTTTTCCATTGAATAATTGATTAACATATATATATATTCTGGATGGATTTTTGTAATGGATTTTTTTAATAAAATCGTTTGTTCCGGATATCTCAATAAATCAGTATCATTTCCATTATTTCTATAAAGGAGTTTCCCTATCGTTTTTCTTGGGAATCACTCTCTCCTTATATGAGTCAATATCCGGGGAATTTCCGGCAAAAGATGCCACTAATTCGCAGCTCGTATCCGTCAGATACAAACACACACATGGCCGTACGTGCTGGGGGAATACCCAATGGTCTTTTCATTAGTAATCTCGTCCCCGCCCGCGCATGCATGCATTTGTCATTCGAGGAATTCTGTGTGGATTACATGGAGATGCCATCTAAATTTACAATCAAATTAGCGGCAAAATGCTGGGAAAGGGTGCAAACGAACGCGTGTGTGTGTGTGAAATGTTTTGTCAAATGGAAATGTGAAAGCGAAAATTTGAGGTCTGTGGCGCGGTGCGGGATTAAAGACCATTCAAAACTGATTTTGAATGCCCCGCTGAGCTCAAATCGATATCAAGGACTAGGCCTGGGCTGTTGCTGCTGTTTCGGTTGCTGTTCCTGATGCCTGATGCCTGTGGCAACAAATGTGTCTAATGCCATGCCATTAAGTAGAATCTATCAGCACAAATTACATGCCCATGTCCGGGTCGGTTGAGATTCCAGGTCCAGGTCCAGCTCCAGCTCCGAACATACAACAACAGCTTGGCACTGCGGTTGCTTAGACAACCAAAAATTTGCATACTCGTAAGGCAGCGCGCATCAATTTGGACTCAAGCGAGCGTATAAATATTTTTATGCCAACGCAGTGGCAAATGGCCTCCAGGATTGTGCCTCAACCTCTCTCTCTCTCTCTTTTTCTTACCAATTCTCAGCCGTTTCCAAAAATTGTCCCATCCTCAACTTTATAGCGGGGTTCGTCCAATTGGGCAGGGCTTATGGTTGCGATATGATTGAACTGGGTCCGCGGTCAATTTGTGGCCATGACGTCGCAATATTATTATTTTTATTTCGAATTCGGGAGCATTGGTATTTTGTGGGCCATTTTAATAGAACTACCGTTGCATTCCACCATCTGGCAGCGGTCCAAAGCTGCCGCCCTCAAGCACACTTCTTAATTAATGTGCTGAGAGCAGAGTGCACTTCGATTGGCATTTGACTGCGGTTGCGGTTCCTGGATTATCAAAGCTCCACAGCATGGTCAACGCGGAATGGTTGATGAGCTGAAAATGCCAAAACAGAACAAAGCTTGAGTAATTAGATAAATTAATTAGATCCTTTGCCGGGATTAACTCATAATTGTTTTTGAACTGTGAACTTATGAAAAGAAACGTAAAATAACTAAACTTAAGAGAAATTATATAATAAATTAAACATAAAATGCACGTAAATTTCAGAATGCGGCAAGTTACCTGTGTCCTTTCACTTCATTTGCGCTGAGAGCAATTAGAGACTTAAGCATGTCCTTTGTTTTTATAACACATCGCAAGGACATCAAATGCAAATTGTTTTATAACTAACAGCCGTGCAAATACTTACTCTTTCCACACCCTGCCCATACCATACCCTATGCCCGGGAGCAATCTGTTTGGGTCGCATAAGCCATAGCTGTTCTATGGTTTTTCCTTCTCTTGTCTTAAGCCATTTCGATTTATTTGCTGACCCAGTTTTCAACGCCAGCCCCAGAGCCGGAGGAGTTCCTTTCACATCTCCTGCTCTCCTGGCCAAGCTGTCCATAATCCAGCGATTACATGTGACACACGCATACGTTGCAGCTTATTTTTCATTTCTTGGGGCTGTCGTTGAGTGTGTTGCAGCACCAGCATGGAGAACGGAGAGCCAGCTGTTGTGTTCCCTTGTAGTTTGCATAAATAATTCAACAGTTCATAGCGGCTCACACTCACCCAGGATCCCATCTGGAGAAGCTAATCCCCCGAATAAAAACGCCACGATTGACTTAATTTTTAAATAAAAAATTTTAATCGTATCTCATTTCGCTGTTGTTCTGTTGGTTGTTGTTTGTTGTTTTTTGAGGCCATACAATACTCTGGCGACAAACAACAATTGTGTTCTTTAGTTATTATTGCTATATGTTTATTATTGTAATGCTTCGCTATGTTTTTATATGATGTCATACTCGTATTTATAACCCAGCCGCGTGCCTGACTTCCTGCACTCGCAAAAACACCCATTCGACTAGTCTGCCGATTAGTTCAACTCGTAGTTAATTCAACAGCTAAAAGTAGTGGGGTTTTATCATCGTTTTATACAGTTCGATTGCTTTATTAAAACTACTCAACTATGCATGGTATGGTATGCCATTGGGGGGGCTAATGCATAGTTCTCGGCTCTCACTAATTAACTTTAATATACAGGAATTACTTAGTTGACGGCCTGCGATTATATAGATTTATATGTATGTACTGCAGTATGCACTACTGTTTACGGCAAATGCCTGCGGGCTTATGGGCATTACCATTTCTGAATTACAAATTGGCTGGCATATGTATTTATTCACACTTAACTCAAATCTCTGTGTAGCTATTTGTGTATGGTTATCTATCTTTTTGATTGGTTAGCTGCAGTTTCAGATGGATTTACAGTCCCCAAAACTGCCAGGATGGCAGGATACCTGCGATAGGATTGGAAAGTGGGCTTTGGATTGGTATTTACAAATGTATTTCGTACTAGGTTCGGTTATTGATACAGACAGACAGACATATAGATAGATGTACAGGAAGATCCGTTTCTATTGATCACTTTTCCTGTACTTGTATTCTCCGATAAATCTATCCTGTGCACCTGATACATTAACATTTATGATACAATTTGCCCGATAACACACACACATAAAATCGGCTTATGGCTAAAATTATTTTTACAGCTTAACTGAAATTAATATAATTTGCTCTGTCTTTCTCCGACCGCAGAAACACACAATGGCAATGCATAATTTGGAATTATGTTTCATTATAAAAAGTGGATGGGGCGCAAACACATCAGCGGCGTACATTTTAATTGGCCAAACGATCTCAATAGGTTTTGATGGGGGCCAGTTTGAGTTTGGTTATTGCTTGATTTGGCTAACAAATGTTATTTAATTTATCCCTTTGTTCGGGCAGTAAAACTGTTGTTTTTTAATTATAACAATTATGAGAGATATTATATGTGTGTCAATCGGGTTTTTATTGCAACTTTTTTGTACCACCAATCGAAATTATGTTTATTTTTTTTTTCCACATTTCACGAGTATCATTGCTTAATAGAATCAATTTATGCAATTTGATCGAGGGGGAATCAGCGGATTTTTTGTTACGCGTAATGGCACACTTATGTACTTGCTGGCACTTGTGTCATTCAATGTAATTACGTTTTTTTTTTATAATTATGAAATATTACAACTAAAAGAATTGTCCTGTCAACGCGGTGAGTGTTCGCTTAATAGAGCCATACAATTATTATAATTAAAGTTGTGTTGAAAACGAGCTAACGGAAATCAAATTAACTTTTTGGATGCCAACATTGTTGAAGAAAATATTGACCAACTCTCTCTATTAGACTAACTGCATTTTTTTTCAACTAAAATCAAATTGTTTTAGCTCACTGTAGAATGTCATTAAATTATTGAATATTGACACAAAATGCCGTGGCAATAAGAAATAAATAAACGGTTTTTAAGGGGAAATCAAATTTACATTTAGTTTGGTGGAAAATTGCGCAATGCAAATATTTGCATGATATTGATATGGCAACAATTTAAATGTTTTATGGCTCGATGCTGTGCGCTGCTGCTGTCTGCTGCCTGGCACGCAATGTACGTTTTTATCTAATTATGGAATATGGAGCTTCTGCACATTATTTGATTATTCATTGATATATATTAAAAAGAGTCCTCGCCGCTGGCCAAAGAGATTACTCATTCCTATCATACTTTGTGTTTGCCTTTCTGCATTTATGCTGCAATTACGTTCAAGTTTGTTTATTTACACTCTCACTATGGTTAGTTTTGATTCCTTTTTTTTTTGTTTTGGTTAAAATATACACATTAAACAGTAATCTTTTAGCTTACACACACATATTTAAATAGACGCTTTTAATGCTTTACAATGGCAGGGGCAATGGAATGGGTTGGAATTAATCCCATTCCGTTGGCTAATTATATTTTAATTAACAGATTTTAATGAAGGTCGAAAGGTAGTTGGTGGAAGTCAACGATTTTGGATCTTTCTTCTGACTGTTTATGTATTAGGGAATGTAGATTGCACTTACTATCAGAACTATCAGATTATAGGTTTCAATTACTAGGCCATTGTGCCACATTGTGCAGCAAATGCTGAGTGCTGCAGTTACCACTCTCCCACTTTGAGTACTTTGAGTTGATAGTTTAAAACTGACACACTTATGACTGAATAGCAAACACTCAAATGCCCATTCACTCGGACTTATACTCACTCGCACGCTTACACATTTCATGTGTCTCCTTAAATTACGCTAGATAGTTGTGGTTGCTGCTGCTTCTGCTGCTGCTGTCCGCCATTGTCGCCTCCATTCGATCATCTGTGACAGTGGCGTTTGGCCTGGGTCTGGGCCAGGGCCAGAGTGTTGGCGTGGCTTGCGGCTTGGTGGCAGCTGGCGACCGCAGGGCAACGCTTCCTCGATGTGGCAGTGCCAGTTGCACTTTCACTGGCTGCACTTGCTGGTGCTGCTGTTGCTGCTGGTGCTGCTGTTTCTGACCCTGGCAACTGAGATGGCAGTGCGGCTGTGCACTGTTGACTGTAGCACAGGACGAGTCCCAGCAGCAGGACAATTGTCAGCCAATTGTACTGACAACCGGATGAGCCTGTTTGCATGGCCTCCGGATGTTCACCTGAAATTATGGCCCGAACTAATTTCAACTTTATTGCATTGTCTTGAGCTTACATGTTAAATTTGTACTTGAACAATAAGACACATACACACATACATACATACTGAAATGGGGGTAAATAAAAGCAGGTTATACACATGTAAGAGTACGAGTACGAGCAGGAGTTCAAGGAGCACTCCGGCGGACTACGATGTTGCTGGAGTCAGCGTGCCGTAACAGACGTAGCAGCAGAATTGACCGTCGACCGTCTTCATCCTCTCTCTCGACCGTCTTTATTTGTTGCGCTCTGTTTGGCCCCTGAACAGGGCACATGTTTGTGCATAAATATTTAATTAATGCTGCAGTGTTTGGTCGATGCTCGAGGAGAGTCGGGGGAAATTGCCAGACTTCTGTGATTCCAACCCCCTCCCCCAGCCACAGCCCACACAAACCCGCTGTCAGTCGAAGCGTATGAAATATTTAAACATCAAACTGCCGGCCACCAAATAATTAGCTAATATCTCCGAAGCTTGAAGCTGCAGGCCAGGGGTCATTAATAAATTGATTGCCCGATGCGATAAATAATCTGTGCTGCCATTCGCCATTCGCCACTGCCCATTCCAGATTTCTTTGGGACTATACGTGTACGAGTATATTGCTTAATTGCCGAAATCAAGTGGCAATGTTACACACTCAGACGGACAGGACACACTCGTTGAGTGGTCGACCGATCCATTGCCACTCCATCTGAACGGTCTTGCACGCGAGCCTGCCTCCATATATATAGATCAAACAAAAACAGGAAAGAACGATATACATATGTAGTCGGGCGAACCGACTATAAGGTGTACCCTATAACAAGGTTCCTTTGAGTTTCAATTTGAGAGTAAGCAGACAATGAAGGGCACTTAATCGCGTGTGTAACATACGAGCAGATACAATATATACACCCCGATAAGTACTCTCCAGGTACCGTGTAAAGCAACTGTACACCTCCCGCAACACCTTGACGGACCTCAGCCCAAGGGCATGTATCAATTACATGTGTATGCACAGTGCACAGCTCTTCTGCCATCCGCCATTCGCTCGCGGGTGTCCTCGTAATTGATTGAGTAGCATTTTTCAAGCAATTAACTTTGGTACTCCACTCGTCACCGCACAATGTGCAAACAAACAGCTTAGATTCAGTGGATGTGCTGATTCCCACTGATGTAATACACGGCGCATATCCTGCCGGTGGGGGTTTCATGTGTTCAGATTGGCATCTCTGATGTATGTATGTATGAAAGATGTTAACAGATGGTCTGCTCTCTCACTCTCTCTCCCCATTCGAATTCGGGTGGCTGCGGTTGCACAACAAGATGGCCAATAAATTTGAATGCCGCATTTGTCTATCTCCATTTATCTATATATATTTCGGGGGGGTAGCAACATATCACGCCTACGCAGTGGGAACCAGCGTGGGAAGCAGCAGCAATAGGCAGCAGGCAGTGTGCCACAAGACAATGTATTTGTTGACAGCACAGGAATTATTAATAACGTACGTGGCCCACATAATTCATCATCATGCGGGACAGACACTGCAGCTCACTCTCTCGCATGACCCTGTGCTCTTGCTCCCGCCCTCCTGTACCCCTAGCCACTCCATGGCTTAAATATCTTTGGGGGCTAAGGCTGTGAAAACACAAGTCAGAAGCCGGCTTAGCCAAACAAAGGCGAATAAAGTGCACAGACGATGGGCGGATGAGCAGGAGAATGAGCCGGCGAAGAAGAAGAAGGAAGTAAAATGTGTAAGACGGAGGGAGGAATCACAAAAAAAAAAAAAATGGAAACTGAAATATGCAAAATTAGCGCTGATGGATTTTCAGGAAGGAAACCGGTCATGGGGCTTGGCAAGAGGCGGCCGGAAGCAGCTAAGCAACTACCAAGCTCCAGACACTCACACACACACACACACACAAACACAGACGTAAATAGATGGAGAGCGGGAGAGCGTGGCACAAATAGAAGCTCAAGGACGAAGGACTCCTCTCAGTGCAGCAGCCTCTGAGCTCCATGCACGTACTTTTTGAGTGTTTTTACGAGCAGCTTTGCATACTTTGGCAGTATTTTTACATTTTGTTGAACGCGTTTTGTTTGTACCGGATGGCGCTCGGTATGGAGAGAGCTGAAATGGCAGCCAGCCACTTGGTCCCTGCCACTTGCACCCTGCAAGTGCAATTGAAGAGCGACATAAAGCAGCGATTTGACTGCGGCTAAGCGCCATTCAATTAGGCCACAATTGCCTCCCTTCCGCTGTTCCAAGCCGCCAAGCTTACAGAGGCGGCTTCCCGCTTCATTCTGTTTCCTGCTAAAGAGACCTCTGGCAAAAGAAGCCCAGATCAATCATACAGTTCATTAACAGCGATTGTTTCGTGCTCAATTGAGCCGATAAATGTTAAATAATTACCATTATCAAGTGCAAACAAGTGCGAAACAGCACAAAAATGTTGATTGCTTTTCATTTGTGATTTACTCCCGCTCTTCCACTCTGCTCCCGACTCCTGTGCCTCCTGCTGGAGATTGTAATTGAAGTGCGACTCGAGCAACAACATGCCAAGCAGGAGAAAACCCAATGCCACTTAACACTAAGTGGTTCTCAAGTGTCTCGAGCTATTTATTTGAATAGATTCTTAGAAAATAGCACAGGCAAAATTGAGAAAATGTTGGGTACGTGGAAAATGTGGCTTGCTTAAGTAATCATATTTCGGTAATCAAAACTAGCAAATTCTGAAGATGTTTCCTCTCAAAATATGGATGTATGAAATATATTAATCTCTCTCTCTCTATTAAATCTTTATCTCACTTAAGACTGATAGAGATCAATAGCCTTAAAGAAGTTTAAGTCCATTCCTTTGCAAGCATTCCTTTCTATGCCCCATAAACTGTTTTTGTTCGCTTCTGCTTTACTTCTCCCTACGAATCAACTTTGGCTGGCTTCCGGTCAAGCATGAGTCCGACTAATCTATTCAGAAATGTTTATGTCATGGCAGCCAATTTATGGTGCAATATTTTTCAACGAATATTTTCACTGGCGATCCGCTTGTCCGCCCAATGGACTCTTCGGAAATGGGTTAAATGGCCTTGCTGGACGCACGGGGCCCGAGGCAGCACTGAGCAGCTGGCTGGCCAATGGCAACTCCCCCCACGGTTTGGTCTATTGTTCCACTCTGCGTGCTTTTCAATTATGCATTAAACTATCGCATACACATCGCAGCGGATATAAAAACGCTTTGCCGCTGCTGCTTGACACTGTGCACATCCGGCTGGGCCGTGATAAGCATTTTACGGGCTTTATCGCGGGCTCATGCAACGTCCGAAATGGGTGGCCCGAGGGCTGGTCTGGCTGGCTGGCTGGCTGGTCTGCCTGTCCTGCCTGTCCTGCCTGTTGAGGTGGCATGGCATTCCGAGGAGTCGACTGCTTTTTATTTTCCACTTTGCTGCAAGTTTATAAATAAAATGTGCATATGTGACACTCGCGCACGCAATGGTGGCAGTTACAGGGCACCTACAGCAAGCAGGGCCTGCAACAGGGCGTGGCAGCAAATACCAGCGCGCGAACAAAAACCGGAAGCCATGCATCGCAGGCGACTTCGCGCCGGCATCATCCTTCCACATCCACATCCACAACATCACGACACTCACCCAGCTTTAGCATTGTTTTTGGCCACACGTTGTGGCTGGCTAAAAGTTGTGCCTCGCTTTTTTGCGCTTGTTTTTCACTCTGCGCTGACATTTACGTTGCTGTCATTAATTTTAAGCTGCCTGCTTTTTGGTTTGGGGCTCCTGGCTCTGCCTCTGCTCTCGCCCTTTCCACATTACAAGTTATCCGGCTGAAAGAACTCCAGCTCCAACTTCTGATCCAACTGCAACTTCCATTTACATTTTCATTTGCATTCGGCAGTCAGGATTCACCTACGCTCTGACAGCGTGCGGGCGTAAAATTGTTGGGGAAAATCGAGCAGAAACTTTTCAGTATTTCAGTGATTTTTATATACAACGCCAACAATTGGATTAGGGAGAGATTTATTCGAGCTAATTTTGGTTATATTTATTTCTGATAGGGTTAAACTTATGTTGTTCAGTAATCATGGCCACATTATCAAAGTACGAACGAGACCTGATAGCCAGACAATCCCAGGAGTCCGCTAACTGCCACTCTGCCGCCTGCCGCCTACCATTCTGTCGTATGTATTTATGCTTTGACATTCTCAAAACTGTGAGTGACAGAAAGTCACTTGAAGATCCCCTAAAGATTCCTCTATCAACTAATTTGCTTCAACAAAAGTTGCTAAATTGAACAACAGTTCGTGCACTTATCATCGACAGTTCTTGTCCAAAGGCAGGGAGTCCCCAAGACTATAGGAACATTCACCCAGCATTTCTGCAGGTACTCTCCTCTTTGGCCAAAACTTTCAGACGAAACTCTCGCCAAACTCTGACTTAATCAGTTAGAATGCCTTTCTAAGCCCTATAATAGGGAATGAGTCGTCTTCGCAGAGTGTCGCAGCATTTCGCATTCAAAATGCAATTTAAAAGTTTTCATTTTCATTTTATTATATATACATATATATACTTATGTATGTCTGAACTAATTCCCTTATATTTTTGTTGTACATTTCGTTTTGATTTTATTTGGCACAAAACTATTTGAAAAGTTTTGAATTTAATGCGCAAATACGTATTATGTGCCCCTCCATCTGTCAGGAGATCGCTACGCTCCTCTTCGACCATTTGTCTGTCGGCTGTGACTGTCAGACCTGACTGTCGTCCGGCATTTGTCTGACTGTAATACATTCTAACAATATTGTCGTTTGTCGCAGAGTCTCGTTTCGTTTGGTTTCGTTTCGTTTCGTTGGCAAAGTTTGTGCACTGCCTGGCTGAAATAATAATTGAATGTCACTTGAACGACAAGTTGTGCTCGGGCTCGGGTTTGGGCTTGGTCTCGGGCTCGGGCATTGCGATTGGGATTGGGCTGGGACTGAGGCTGAGGCCGAGCT